AAAAAAAAAAAAAAACGAAAAGAAAACGTACATACTATTTTTAGCAAGTTTCGCCCAAACCGCAACCGGACTGTCCCCATTAACGTCTTAGCTATTATAATACTAAATAATAATTAAATAATTGTGTTAGAATGAATGTTGAATAAATTAAAAGTTTTGACATTGTAAGGGTGAGTAAATTAAAGAAATCTCCCGCATGAAGAATTTGAGAAACGAAATAATGATGTAAATGCAACTTTTTTCGACTGAGAAACTATAGTGCGAAACGAACTGTAGAAAGGAAACATGATTATTTAAGAAAAAATTATAGTGGCGTACTGTTAAAGAAAAAATGATACACGTGGAAGCATAATGCTTTAAAAGACACTGTAGTGGCGTACTGTTAAAGAAAAAATAACATGAGTAAAAAATTCAACTGACAAGCGCCTCAAATTCGCAAAACAGAAGTTTGTTCCTTGAAAAGTCACGTGTCGTTTTTTATCTTCTATCCCTGTCCATTTATCCCTTATAATTCACTTCTTCCTTTTTATTTCAGCTGCAAGATGTTAAACAATGAACAGGGAAAGAAGACATCCAGGGAGGACGTTGGAAGGCAGATAGACGACATTAAATATTTAAATAACTAAAAGGGGGGAAGACAGATATATAACAACATTAAAATATTTAATACGAACATCTAATTACTTTTTTTTTTTCTTTTTTCTTCTAGCTATATTATAACTTACTACTTACATACATCTATTTTCTAAATTTTCGCCTCATACAACTACACTTTTACTATTTTTTTAATTTTTGCTTTATTACACCTTTCTAGTTTATATTTTGACATTATTCATATTCTTTGCTTTATTATAACTTTTTATTTTTCTATTTTCTAGAGACACACACATATATTTTTTTTTTAACTTTTTTTTTTTTTGTTTTTTTTTTGTTTTTTTTTTGCGCTCTCCACTGGAAAAACGACACTTTTTCTGACTCAGAAATTATAATCGTTTACTGTCGAAAAAAAAGAAAAAATAATATACGCAGGAATGCAATTATTACGGAGAAACTATAGTGATATATACTATTAGAAAAGAGAGAAATATGGCAGAAGAAATAAAAAAAAAAAAAAATTAAAAGTTTCGCGTAATGATTACGACTTTGTAACCACTTACGAAAAACTATAGTGAAAAACCATACTGTTAAAGAGAAAAATGACATACGTGAAAGTATAATCATTTAGCAGAAAATACAGTAGCCTACTGTTACAGGGAAAATGACATGGGAGAATAATGATTTGGGAAAAATTACGTGCTGTTAAAGAAAAAATGATACGGGCGAAATAATCGTTTAAAAGAAACTATAGTACTGTTGGGGCAAACGATACGGCTGCGTAATAATTTAAGAGAAACCAAAGTGGCGCACACCGTTAAAGAAAAAAATGACACGAAGCCATAATCATTGAAGAGAAACTATGGCGCGAAAGAAAAAGATCACAGCGGGGCGTAATCGTTTAAAAGAAACTATAGTAGCCTGCTGAAGAAAAAAATATGACATACGTAGGAATGTAACCATTTAAGAAAATTATAGCGTTAAAAAAAAAGAAAATCACATGGCAGCGTAATGATTTGGAAAAAGCTACAGTGACATACTGTTAAAGAAAAAAGGTACGAGCGCGTAATCATTTAAAAGAAACTATAGTGGCATACTGTTAAGTGACAAACGATACGGCTGCGTAATAATTTAAGCGAAATTAAAGGCGTAACTGATAAAGGGAAAAAAAATGACATACGAAGGTGCGTAATCATTTAAGGAAAATATAGTGGTATATACTGTTGAAGAAAAAAAATGACATGATAGCGTGATTAATTGGAAAAAGTTACAATGGCGTGCTATGAAAGAAAAAAATGATATGGATGCGTAGTCATTTCAGAGAAACTATAGTGCCGTACTCTTAAAAAAAAAAATTACATAAGAGCATAATCGTTTAGGAAAAACTATAATGGCGCATTGTTGAAGAAAAAAATGACAGACGCGTAACCCACTGTTAAAGAAAAATAAAGCCATAATCATTGAAGAGAAACTATGATGACGTAAAATCATCATGTGAAAAAACATGATATACGTAGAAATGTAATCATTTAAGAAAACTATAGTGCTGTATCGCTAAAGAAAGAATGGTACACGTGGAAGTATAATACTTTAAGAGATATACTATACACTATAGTCAAGAAAAAAATGACACGCGAAAAAATTCAACTGACAACGGCTCAAAATCGCAAAACAAAAGTTTGTCCTACTTCAAAAGTGTCACAGTTCACGTGTCGTCCTCCTCTTTTCTTCCTGATCATTCGTTTTATTTTATGTGCATTTAAAATGTGAAATTAAGCCAACATAATTGATAGAAAGACAGATATGATGTTTATGTACAAAACAAATTTAATGGTGTTAAATCAACATAAGTGGAAGACAGATATGATGTTTATATACAAAACAAATTTAATGGTGTTAAATCAACATAAGTGGAAGACAGATATGATATTTATATGCACAACAGATAGACATTAATTAATCTTAATTTTCTTCTTAATCTTTACTCTATTATAATTTACTACTTTTACATTTCTATTTTCTAGTACATATATGAAAATTTTTTTTAAATTTTTTTTTTTTGTTTTTTTTTTTCCCCTTTCTTCCTACTGGAAAAACGACACAGTGTATGCAACTTCTTCTGACTCGGAAACTATAGTGACATACTATTCGAAAAAAAATTAATATGAAAAAAGGAATGAAAAAAAAAAATTATAATAGTTTCGAGAACATGATTATGTTTTCGTAACCATTTACGGAAAACTATAGTGAAAAATCATATAAGTGGAAGACAGATATGAC